TTGTGATTTTATGATTGGAAACAATTTTGATAAAACATGTTTCAATTGGTAAAACATGTATCACAACCAGATGTTAAGCAAGATGTCATGACATCTTGACCAACTGTCACAACAAGTGTTGTTGTTGCTTCTGGAAGATTCTGATATGATTTTATGAGATTCCCTATGGATATATCTCAAATACTTGTGCAGGCCCAGAAGGATATAATTGGAACAAGTGATTTTATCTCTAACTGTACATAAGTTTCTAAAATTGGATGCTGATAGAATTTAGGAAACTTGTGATATTTTTGTTCCATGATTCTAGGAGATTTTTTCTGCATAATTGGTGTGTCCCTCAGCTTGTGGATCAACAAGAAATTGGATGAATGTTTCGAAGCCCATGGATTGCTGAGGAGTTTATAAAAAGAAAAACCTAAACCTAATGTTATTAAGAACTTAATAAAAAATAAGGGGAAATTTGATATTCAAGAGTCTTAGGATTTGAGAGTTTTTTAGTGTGCTTTATTTTTTGTATGTCACTCATGTATCATGTTGATACATAGAGTTTGACTGATTATTCATTGTTCATTGTCAATCACTCATGAGCTTTTAAGAAAAGAGTGAATTGTGTGTAATTGGAAGTATGTTCTTATGTTTTGGTCTTTTGTTATTGTCACTAAGATGACTATGGAAAGTGAGAGGGATTCTCATATCTAGGAGGTTCCTATGTAGAAGTTGCATAGGTAGTGATTAGGTGATAAGTTATAAACTAGGGTTGTTTAGCTTTGAACTAATACTATCATAGTGGATTTCTTTCCTGGGATGGATGCCTCAGAGTAGGTGATGTTGCACTGATAATTGACTGTGTTATTTATGTTCTACAATTTACTTTATGCATAATTTATATCTTCTGTAAATTATTGTATCAGGAACATGATATCTTAACATTTGTCCTGACATTGTGTTTTGGTGTTGTGACATCTGTCTTAACATCTAATTTGAGAGTGCTAGAATTTCAATCAAAAAGGGAGAGAATGTGGAACCTTGTTTTGCATGTAATAGATTTTCTTTTGATGATGACAACTACAAAGTAAAACACTAGAAAGACTTCATCATAATAAGAATACAACAAAGGATAAGTCAAAGAGAACTTAAGTGGTTAAAGATGCAAACCATGAATGTAAAGGTTTGATGAACCTGACTAATCAAAGAAGAAGTTAAATCAAGAGAAATCATTTAAAGCCTCAAGATATCTCAAGCAATGTCAATACAAAAGATGATATCTGAAAAAAAGCTTATAGAAGAAGTTAAACTCCTATTTTAGTAAGTGAGGGACCTTTTATAAAAGCAAAGAGTTTTTTCGTAAAAGTATATGGCTATAAGCACACATACACTAAAACCTTTTTTCAAATACCTTAACTAAGAGAAAATATTTTTAAATGTGTCTTTAAGTTGTGTCAGATGACTTAGGAGCAGTGGAAATAATTAAAGAGAAATATTTGGCTAATCTACTCGATTAGACTTTTATGCTAATTTATTAGAACAACTCAAATGTAAGCGTCGTGTTATTAGAATGATGTACAACGGCTAGCAATATCTTTTTTCCTTTTAAATGACCAGCAACGATTATATTTTTTAAATCTAATCGATTAATTTAAAAGTCCAATCGATTAGCCAAGGGTCAAAATCATTAAATGAAATTTCTGTTTTGGGTATTCTTCTTGCCTATAAATAGATACCTCATTTCTCATTTCAAATTATCCAGAACACGAATTGTATATTGACACTCACTCTCTCTCTCTCTCTCTCTCTCTCTCTCTCTCTAAAAAGTTTATTTTTACTCTCTCTCACTAGTTCTTATAGCCAAATTTTTTTGTGGGGAAAATTTCATTTGTGAGTGAGATGTTTATTGTAGTTCTGAAAGGGTAGCATTGTATAAGTTCACCAAAGAATTTTGTTTATACACTTTGGATCAGTACTGCCCATTTAATGATCATATATGTGGTTCGAAGCTAAACTCGTTAAAAGCTTATGGTTGGGGATTGTCTGATCAGTTCCTACTAGTTTATATTTATAGGTTGAAGATCATATAACTTTGAAGATCTTACCATTGATGCATTTTTATCCTAGTTAAAACCATGGTAGATTTTGAGATGAGCCTGATTAAAATCCCAAGAGGTTTTTTGGTAATCATGTTAAACCAATTGAGCTCAGATATATTTTGAAACTTGAAGACTAATCGCTATAAGGTCCATGATTTTGACACTTTAATTTATCGTCTTGTATTATTATGGTTGTAGGACAACTGCCATTTCTTTGTATAAGGGGGTTCGTGAGTCTTTCCTACTAAAAAAAACTCTCAAACATTATTGGAAACTCTCAAGGCCAAGTCTTGGAGAGAGGAGTAGTTTCTTTTTCTTTTGACCGAACTTCTATAATTTTTGGTGTCTTTCTTCTTCCTTTAAACTTTTTAATTTATGTCTTTAATATTTTATTTATGTTGCTTAGACTTAGAAAAATATTTTCAATCTCTGATTAAATTGCCAAAAAATTTCAAAAACCCATGTTTTTCCAAACCACGAAATTCGTCTCCCTCTTATGTGTGAAGTTTCAACTCCAACAGATTGGACTATATAAATTTTGTCCAAAATCATTCACAGTTCATGATTCAACTGATAAGACTTCAAAACATTTTTAGGAGTAATTCTTTAAGAAAAATAGGCTTGAAATATATTTTAGTGTGTGTGATTTATCTGTATAACTTTACAAAAAAATCCTTATGCTTTTACAACATATTGTTCACTCAGACGTGAGAAGGCGAGCTTTCGTACTTCCTCTCTTTCACACTTTAAAGCTTCAAGACTTGTCAGGTGCTCAAATCTTATAGACAATTTCTTAAGTTCTTCTTGAAGATGAGGCTTGAGTTTCATTCTGGTTGAGTGTCATCATCAGAGGATGTTTATAGTGATCATTAAACCCTACTTAGTCTACTTGAATCTTTGATCGCTTGTTATGCTCAGAGGATGTTTGTAGTGATCATTAAATCCTACTTAGTCTACTTTCATCTTTGATCGCTTGTTATGCTTGCATTTATTTGTCATCATCAAAAACATATTCATAATTAAGAACATGAGGGATTCCTTGATTACTTAACCTCCAAAACATGATTCCACAAGATCAGATGGAGAAGTCACAATGAATGATCTTCAATCTCTTAAAGAAGTGGTTGAGCTTTGGTAGTAGTGGTAGTCGCAACAACTTTAGCAAACTGAGTGTTTCTTAATGTTTCCATAGTCATAAGGAGTATGTTATCGAACTTTAGTGAAGTAAATCGATGTTACAACGATGAAAGTTAGAGATTTGGATCTCTGATGAAGAGACAATAGTTTTTTGAAAATGCGTAAGAATTAGGAATTGATTCTCACAAACGGTGGAATTGTTCTAATCTGGAACCAAAATTGTTGTTGAAATGGTGAGATGGACCATGAAAAGTGCATTGGTCTTTCGGTACGGCGACGTGCAAGTGGACCTGTAATGTTAGCACTCCAATACTCAAATCGGTGAGAGAATCAAAGTGATACGAAAATGAAAATGAATTTGAATACTTGAGAATAACACACTTTTCTCGTTAAATACTTGGGGCGGTTAAAACTGTGCGAGGGACACGACTTGCTATCGGACAGTCATTTAATTGATCAAACAATGAGTGAAGCATTAAAGTGTAGAGTTATCTACCTTGAGTGAGAACGAGGAAACACTTGTTTCTCGTGTTCAATTCCTTCATTCTTGCATTTGGACTTTTCATCTTGGGCCTTACAGAGGTCCCATAATAGTTTTATGCTAGTTAATTTTCAGAATTGATTAACGAAATTAATTTGAATGAGTAAGAATAGGAATTGAGATTATGACTAAATGGTGACGGTACTCACACAAAGAGTGGGAGTGCATTGGTCTTTTGATTTTAAATGTTATTGAATTTGGAGGGGAAATAAAATGTGTTATATTACATGTTTCTCCAGATTTTTCAATTCGGATGTACCCGAATATTAATATCCAAACCCACTCAATTAAACATTTAATGCGTATTGAACAATATTGTACATGTGCATTTGAAAGTTAACTTCCACACAGGAATAAATTTGAAAATTCGTAGGATTTAAAAGAAATAATATGGGTGTCTCGATCAATACCCTTCTCAAAATTTGTTCGATTGGGCCTCAGCTGTGCACCTAGCACATTTACATTTCTTACGACATTTCTTCTATTGTAGTGCTTGCATGGACTAAATAATTATATTAAATGAGCACACTCATTCCAACACTGAATAATAAAAGTATGTATTTTTTGTTTTACAGAATAATAATTGGAGTTGTTTATTGGTTAAGTAATCGAATTAAGCAATTGAAGTCAATAACTTTTGAGTTTGACTTTTGAAATGGCCAAAAACAATTCTAGAGTAATAAAATTAATTCCGAATGATTTTGAGATATTTGGTTAGACAAGTAAAATTGATTCTGTCTCCATAATTGATTTTGGATGATTTACACTGAAATTTATTCAACTCACTTTTACATAAACATATCCAAACATAAATCAATTCTCCTAAACTCAATTTTAATAAAATCAATTTTACCAAACTCAATTATACTATAATCAACTCTATCAACTGCCAATCCAGACATTCATTGACTAAATGCCATCAAGAAATGACAAAATTAAAGATAAACATAAAGAAAAAAGATTTATAAGATTTATAAGGACTAAAAATGTACTTCATTCTAAAATCAATAAAGAAAAGAAATTAGTAAAACTGTGTTACCCAAAAGTGTGAAATCTATCATCTTCCTAATTCAGAAATAATACACTACATACATAATCCATTTGAAGCAGCAATAAGAAGTTAAATACACAAACAAGGACATTACAGACTGCATCTAGTATATTTAGTCCATGGATTCCTACCTACACATCTAAACAATTACACAGATGAATAACTCTCAAACAAACAAATGATACATTTATGACTCGATTGCCATCATAGAAACTGAGTCAGATTCGTGACCGTGAACTCTCAAGCGATATATACAGGTGTGTGAAGGACTTCCATGATTTGACGTAAAATCAAACCTTATGTTGTCGATAACACCAGAACCTGCTGAACTCAACACATTAAAAGTTTGAGCATTGCTCTTCTCAAGATCATATGTGAACTCTGCCAGAAGAAACATCTTTTCAGTATCAACTAGGGTATCGGTATTTCGACCCTGAAGCCAACCAGAGATCCTACAGTCCTTAGGAGCACTAGATCTATCATATGCAACACTCTGTTGAAGAAAATATATATCAGTATTCAGCACAATACTAACAATATTCAAAGAAATGGTGAATAAATAGAAAAACAAGAACACTATACATCAAGATGAAAAAAATATGATACGCACATAAAAGAACCCTCAACAAAGACAAATCGCAGTGTATGAGGCACACTACGAATATAGTTGTTAAATGGCAAAGTATAAAAAATCATGAAAGACTGGAGCCCTAGATCAGCAGACTAAAAAGATTCTGCATAAATTTCCTAGGAAATCAGAAGAGATCTGGTAGAAGATAGCCAAAACTAGAGTGAAGGCATAAGATTTCACCAGAAAAGCAGTTGAAGATATAGTTTACATGTGCCACATAAGCCAAAAATATTCATAATCCATAAAATGATTTTCTAACAAAATTTAATCACCTTTAGAACAGTTAAACTCTTCACCATTTCAATTTTATTCTATTTGTTTTAGGATTAATCAATACACTTGAGAAATGACAAAGAATGCTGGAATAACACCTGGTAATCAATATAATAGCAACGTACTAATAAAAGTAGGTAATAAGAATCATTGTTATATACTGAGGTTTCAACAAAGTTTTATGTTAAATATACACAGAAACTCTTTTTTTTTTCAACTTCTCAAACTGACCATTTAACGGAAGTTCTGTTACATAAGACAACAAAGTACTTCAATTATACATCAACGCAAACATCAAGAGAACTACTAACAGAAGATGAAGGAAAATGAGATATGAAATGGTTATATCAACTACAACAATATCTAGAAAAGATAATCGTAGAGAATATCATATAAACAAAAGGTAAATTACATCTCCAATCAAAATTTGGTTATGCCCAGAGTAGAGAATAATCTTCTTCAAAGAAAGTTACAAACTTAATACACTATCAGTGGAGCGCCAGCAAAAAAATGCAGGTTGGATGGAAAATATGGCAAAAATACCCAAGCAACTCGCCAAATATGACAAAATATACCAAAAATCTGAAGGCATCTAATCTAAATCATACAAATGAAAGTTACAAACACAGTATTTCACGTCAGCTGACTCGGCAATAGGCATGTCATTGCATCAAAACATAGGACTTCCAACACTAATACTGTGAAATCGATTCCAATTAACCCTATCCAAGGCGAAAGTCTTCTTTAGCAACCTAGAACTAGAACAGTAATTGGTGATCTAAGCCTCTTGAAAAGCATAACAATAATAACATGGATCATTATCTCAATAATAAAGTAAATGGACGGAAAGAAAATATGTAAAGCACAATATGATTTAGAATACACTGTATACTGAGTACTATGATCAAATATTAATTTTAACAATGACTTCTTTGTTTCATATTGGAATTAGTGGGAATGGGTTGAACCATCATGTTAATATGTTATACAAAAGCAACTATTTGTTTACTTAATCAGAAGTCAAAAGTTCAAAAACTACATGAGCTAAATTCTTTCAATGTAAAACAAAGTCCTTCAGATTATTTTATTTCTAGTGTCAATATGAATTATTAAACGGACTTTATTCTCTGTTGTTAGTATTGTGTTCTCTCCTTATGAGAAAATTTATTGGTCTTTTTGAGTAACACATATATCCTCAAACACAGAACAATATCATATAAGACACATGACTACAAAAATCAAATTAACAGGATGCACATTAAAAAATGGTAATGAAAAATGAAAACCAATTAGACAAAAACATGTAAGACCAAAGATTCAAGAAAGGTCTTGGAGACTCAACGATATATAGTACACTATCCTTAACACACACACAAAAGTATAGCAAGAAAAGACCACATATTCATTGCCATGCTTGAATAAGAAGAAGATAAATGCAGTAAACTTCATACTTTCACATATGACAGAGCCGTTCAATTGTTTCTCCTACCATCATAATTCATAACTTACCCAAAGGCATGGATATAGCATTCACATTATGCAGTTTCTCAAACCAAGTTTGCCACAATGAGAATGCAAATAAGTATATATATGCATGTGCGTCATCAAATTTCCTATAACAAGCATGTCAACGACTCCAAATTTTCATAAACTCAAATACCAAAAAACCTCAACAGCAAGTCAAAGATTATACTAGTAACTGGTTGGAAACATGGCAAGACAAGAGAGTAATAACTGTTTATAGATAAAAAGAAAAGATTATGCATTGCATCACCTTTGCTACATGCTCCAAGGTAATAGCCTCAGGAATAATTTCGGTGCGCAACTTAATCTGAACAAACCCGCTGCTGCCTTTCAATGGAAAACACTGTCCAGGCTCCCCAAAACTCGGCTTCAACATCTTATCAGCATTGGGATGAACACCATTTCCTGGAGACAACAAGAACAATTTTGCCCTCCGCAAATCATAGGGATCCGAATGCCTCACAACTGAGGCTCCACCGTTTGCAAGCGCATAATCCACCCTCCCAAGCCCATCTGCAGCATGCTTCTCAATCTCACTCTCAACCACCCCTCTTGCATATTCCCTTATCTCATCCAAACCAGCACCTTCATAACCATTCCCCTTACCCTTGCTCAAACCCTCAACAAATTTCTCAAACTCTTCCTTTGTTAACAAATCCTCTACTCTCAACTCATCCAAATATCTCTCCAATTTGTCACCCTTTGTCACCAATTTCTTCAACTCATTCTCCAAGAATGCACCTTGTTGTTCAATTTTCGCATCCATTTCCTTCCTTAACCCTCCAACCTTGGTATCCACCACATCCACCTGCACCTGAATCATCTTCGCCGTCTTCTTTAGCAAACCCTCCATTTCCAAAATCCTATCCTCATATTCCGGCAACCCACTGTACCCACCACCAACAACTCCTTCACCGGATTTCACCGCAAACCACCTAATCAACTGAACCAACCCAGCAAGCATCACCAATAACACAAAATTCTTCGCAAAGATCCTCGCCACAGTAACCCACCGCTGTTTCTCCGACTTCCCAACGGTCTTCCTTAACCGCCGCGGCGTAACGGCAGCAGAATCCCCACCGGTAACCCTCTTAGACACCGGCGTCACATCCTTTGAAAGAACAGCCTCCCCGCGGATCGAGTGATGGCTCAAATCACGACCATTGCCGAGGTTTGACGGAGCCTTGCCGTCACCGGCATTCGGAGAAGCCGTGACGTCGTTAGCGAGGAGTTCGATATTACTGGCGGTTTTCTTCTCGGTGACGACCACGGGTCTCCGACGCGTCCCCGGGTTCGCCGCCGTGATTGACACGGTGGAAGCCGACATCGGGATTTCCGATAACCGGTTTCAATTGGGGGGAAAATGAGAATGCTGAGAATGAAAGAAGAATTTGAAACGGAATCAAACCTTGTGAAGAGAGTCTTTTATTCAGTGTTTGGATCTGAAGAAGAAGGATTTCAAAGATTTGTTTAGGTTTTTCTTTTCTTTTTTTTCTTCAATAATTTTGGGAGCGTAGTAGTGAAATGAAATTGATTGAGACGCGACTGGTCAGCGCGTGTCTATGGGCATTGCGAAAGGATGTGGACTGGGCTGGGACTTGTTGGGCTGCAACGAACCAATGGAAGCACCTCCCACACACATGACAATTTCTTTTCACACTCTTGTTTTGTAAATCACACCTTTCAAAATTCACACCTTTCAAAATTCAAAAATGTTCGTAAATTTTTTTGGAGATATATCTTTGAATATATTATAAATTCTTTTGTCAAAATTTTATTTGGAGATGTATCTATAAATATTTTCGAGGTGTATTCGAAGATCCATCTCTAAAATAGTTTTTTTTTCAGAGATGCATATCCGAAAACTTCCTTATATGTAATGGGGCAGAAACAATGTCTAAATTTGTATATATTTTTTTAATATTAAGTATTTTTAGTCTGAATAACAGTGTCATAATCCACATTTTAACTCAAACATTAACATCTCAAAATAAGATAATGCATTAATTAAAAAAAGTGTCATATTATTACAAACATAGTTCTCGAAGTATAGAAAATGATCTTACATGTTGATCAGAATAGGTGAGTGGCCAGCAATACGTCTGTAGTCTTGAACAATCAACGGAGGGATTGTACCTGCTGGAACTCTGATGCTTAAGTCAGTTCGGGTGAAGAGGTAAGCAAGAAAAGGGTGAAGAATGGAATACATGACCCTCCTGCAGAGGAGGATTTTTATAGTGAGCCCCCAGCATTGGCCAATGATCTTCGTTATAGGCTGAGTGTTCAGGCCCATAATGGATGACTATCAGGATTCCTACGTGAAAATAAGGATGAGTAGCTCATGCTCATTGTCCTAGGTCAACCATTCTGCACTCCATGGGTAGTGGATGAGCTTTCCTGTTACGAAGGGCAAACCGGTTCTGCCAGTCACGCGAAATGTGTGAGTTTGGCTGGTGACGTATCGTCGGGTGAGGAGCACGTGGGGAACGTATTTTCAACTGGCCTCAACTGTTGGGCCAGCACTTTGGGTCATCCTCAACGTAGAACTGGATTGGGTTGTGCTCGGCGGTGGGTCAGCCACAGATCCAGTCCAGAATAGGAGACCCCTAAGTCGTTGCTCCTAGGTAAAGGAGAAATGACTTAGATCCAATTCATCTGTCAAGGAGGGGCAAGGGATTCTGCATGAAGCGATCCTTCATATGGGCCTGTGATTGCGAGCTCGCGTTGTCGTAGATGGTGCTCACCATGGGATTCTCTTGTTCATGAGTTTGCACGCACGAGGAAGATATTTTACTCGTAACTTGTTGGATTTCGTTTACGAGGAATATGTAACACCCTTGTAAAACCTCACAATTAATTAAATGAAATTAAATCAATTATCACCACTCAAGAGTGTCACACTTCATAACATACAACACATAATATAGCCTTGCTCCATAACACAGATCGTCAAAACATTTATAACAACTGTTCTTTACATATATCAAATCTCCAGTTAAACTCTACAACGGAAATCATAGTCTCAAACATAACCTCATTTAAATTATCAAAATAACATTACCCTTTAGGGTCATCATCACAGTAATAACAAATAACTTCATCAATAGCAAACTCAAACAAATATGTTTTTAAACAAAACAATAATTTAAAACTCAAGTGTTCTCATCCTCGATGTTACAATATCAGAGCAAGACACCTTCTAAAAATAACGGAAACACTAAAGATCGCTCCAAGGCTACCTTCGACGCTCCAACACTTTACTCTTGAGTATCTGCATTATGCCGTAAAAAGCATATTCTAACAGAAGGGGTGAGTAATCAAATTCATTACAAAAGATATAAGGAAAGGGGTCAGAAGCTATAATTCACTTCACTATACATAACTATATTTCAATTAATAATTATATTCACAAAATAAACACAACAACATTTTCCCTCCCTTAATCAAAAACCTTCAATTACTCACATAACACATGGTCAACATCATACAAAACTTATCAACATAATTTACAATCACCACACATTATATGCACATGCAATAATATAGACTCAAATGCATGTGGTACCAAAACTTCACTGATGACTTAGTCATCTTTCTCCAAAGATCCCCACCAATAGGATCGATTCCGCTTGAAACCGGAGCACTTCACAAGATTACACTTAATCCACACAATGGGATTAAGCCATCACTAGAAAAACGTCATATCAATATCACTTGACCAATATCCTAACATATGTTATGAATGTATAATGCGCAACAGTATGTAAACGACCACTACTAGTCAAATTGCACCATTCATTCACAAAGTCACATATAATCATCTTCACATATATGTACACGAATCAAACATATACTAAAATCATCATCACTAAAACACTTTTGAATCATATCAACTTCATAATAATCCCATAATAACATCATAATTATCATCCAATTCACCAGATATTCACAATAACTAATTTTATAAAAGTCTTATATTATATTTTAAAAACGACATAACTTGACCAATACAAAATACCTATTCACCTGCCAGAATGTTGGAATTCTGGTTTTCAAATTAATTTTAACATAAATTACAGCTGATCGAATTTCCAACAATACTAACCAAGTGTCGATCAGACATTCGTAGCTCAAGTTATGATTTTTCCAAGATTTGTGATTTTTCAAAAACACTTTGTGGTGACCGGTTAATGCAGGACAGTAACTGGTTACTATGATTTGCAGTAACCCACGTTAGAAAAAATTTCAGTGGTAACCAATTAGTGCTATTCTGGTAACCAATTAATGCATATAATTTTCACCCAAATTTCCCAAAAATTAGTCAGGTAACCGGTTACTGCAATTTTGGTAACCGGTAGATTTCTGCTATTTTTCATAATACGATGTTTATCCCCTTTCACCCCAAAACTCCAGTTTTTAACAATTAAAACTCAGAATCAGTTTGCACAACATTACCACTCATCAACATACAATCTCACACCAATTTACATATCAATTTCATGATTCAAACATCATTGTAATCCATAATTTCATCACAATCACACAAACACAACAATATTCATCTAGAGTCATATTATTAGACAACGCCTACCTCTACCTTAACTCGATATCAATAACAATAAACCCGATTACCCACCCTTACCTCGAAATTATTAATAATCGGTTTTTTCCTTTGCATTCTTGATTGATTCCTCTCTGGGTTCTATAACACCCCAATTCTACCCCGGCAATTATATAAATAAATCAGAGTTATAAAATCATATCATGCAAACGAATCGGGATGCCACAAATTCTTCTATCAAAATTCATTGCATTCATTGTGGATATATAACACCTTTAAAACATCGGATGAACCATCATCATAACATCTTCCATTAAATAATTCAACATCTACGCAGCAGAATTCTTAATAACATCTTTATCATCATTACAGTACCTTCAAACCAACAAATACATAATAATAATCAACTTAAAGTTCAACGACGGAATAATCAACAATCAAAAGCAACAAGCGTTCATCCCCCCGAGTGTTATATATCAGAGCAATGACACCAACTCAAACTATTGAAGGTATACAACCTTCACTCTCGATTACTTGCACGTTACCAACATAAGGGCAATATTCAAACAGAAGGGGTGAGATATCTAACAATATAATAAAGCGCATGATAATTAATATATTAAATTAGATCACATAACATCACCACTTCTCATCTCATAATCAACAATAATCACGTCAATAATACACAATCACAACATCAATACACACTTCTTTATACAATCATATAATGCGACTCAATACTATGAAAATGCATGTGGTACCTTTTGGAGCAGAACTCTCATCTAAAAAATTTGCCAATTAAAAGAGGCATCAACAAGGCATAAGCTTTCATCTCAATATTCGCCAATACAGGTCATCTCAACGAGCATAAGCTCCATCTCAAAATGTAATGTATGCGACACAATCATGAATGTAATAACAACACCACAATTAACAACATCTCAATACATCATCATCATTGGCCAAAGGCCTACATCTCAAAAGCATCTCAACATCTCTTCATCAAAATTCTCATATCATTCATAATAATTCATCAAACATCATTTATTCATCAAACATCATTTATTCATCAAATATCATTTATTCATCAAACACAATTTCATTAATAACATCTCATCAACAACTCAGTTGTACTTTAATACTACAGTAATTCATATTACCATTCTGTAATCTTACATCATTACTATCATTACACCTACTGTTACAAATCAAACAACAGCCTATAAACATTTCATCCTCATCATTCTGCATAAAAACCAACATAACGATCAACACGGGAACTAACTCTAAACCCTAAATTGGATACTAGGATTACACTTCCTATTCTTCATTTTAATCCTCTAGAATAAAGTTCACCGCGTTAGCTATTCAACGCTTCAAACGACATCTCAAACGACATCCTTAAACTCAAGTTACAGCATTTATAAACTAAATCTGCCAAAAACCAGATAATATGGATCGACACAAAATGTCTTGGATCGACGTGTACTGCACTGAATTCGTAACATGAGTCGATGCATTCTCTCTTGGATTGACTCATACTTCACTGAACTCACAACATGAGTCGACACATTCCCTCATGTATCGACTCATCCTGAGTCAAACACACAACATGTATCGACACATGCTCCTACGGATCGACTCATCTTGAGTCTAAAAGTCCTCATGTATCGATGCAAAACCTTTTCATGTTGACTCATCATGAGTCTATACAACTTCTTGTATCGACACATAGCATTTGAGGTCGACGCATCCTGTTACATCCT